GAACTGTGCTCCAGGCCTCCGTGGCTGTTTGTTGATCTTGGTGACTGTTGCTAGGGTCAGTGGATTTCAATCACCAGAGCAGAGCAGGCATGGCAGAAAAAAAGAGCCCGAGAGCATCTCAGAGCTCGCAGCCCACTGCCTCAGAGCTCACAGGGCCTTCTGGGAGCTCATCTGCCCTGTCTCTTGCACAACCTCAGCTTCCTCGGTGGTCCCGGCTAGCCCTGGGAAGTCAAGGGGCAAGAAAAGCCCTCCCCAGGGGCTGAATCGGTGATTGTGAGTCGCACCCCCCCATTTGAACTGTGCAACACCCGGGTCCTTTAAACGGGGCTGAGGGTGTAGCTCAGTGGCAAAGCGCTTGCCCAGCATGCTCTGGGTCCTGGGTTTGATCCCCAGCATCACAAAAACAATGACAGAAACGATGTACTTGTGTGTCTGAGCAGCCACCCCTGGCCCGCAGTCCATCTGTGAGCCCACAGTCTGTGTTTGCCCAGTGTTCATCTAGAGCATTCTGTTAGCCAGGCCCTGCATGGGTGCTGGGGTTTGAGAAGTAAGCTCCATCCCTGCCCCTCAGGGAGCAGAGAGTCTGATTGTCCAAAAGGACACCACGGCTGCTCCTGCCCCAGAATGCCCACGGGCTGTCCCAAAGAGACTGGCTTTCCTTCTCCGAATTCACAGATGCCTACAGATGGAGGAGCTTCCTGTTTGCCGAGAAACACCCCAGACCTCAGCCCCTGAAGGGCCTGAGGCAGCTCTACTGTGTGTTTGCTCGTCTGCTCCTAGGAACAGAGGGGAGGCTGCTGGCCGTGAGGTGTCCCTGCCCAGAGAAAGCCACCTGCTCAGTGGGGGCTGGTGTAAGGGGCTGCAGCACCCTGCTGCGGGCACCAGGCATCATGAGAAGCGGGTAGGCCGAGCCCAGCGGGACAGCAGCCCTGGCCTCCAGCTGCAGCGGGGCTGGGAGGCCGGCCTGCCCCCTCTCCTGCTGGACCCCACACTCTGCCAGGCCCCTACATCCCCCCGGGGCTCGGGGTCCATTCTCCCTCCCACTGATCCTCAGTGCCAGGCAAGGCAGCCTGCGCAGCCGGCGCTGGGCTCTCATCTGCTTCTTGGGCAGCAGAGGGGAGGCACCGGCTCTGCTTCCCTCTCTGAGCAGAGTGCTCACCCCCACAGGGTCCTGGGACTCTCGCATCTCTCCCGCACCCTCCTCAGCCCTCTCCCTTCCAACCCCGGGCTGTGTTGTCCAGGCCACTGCCCTCTGCTTCCGTGACTGATGAGGGAGTAGGAAGTCAGCACCGTTACTGACCCCTGGCCCTTTCTTATTTTGAGACAGTTTCTCACTAAGTTGCCCAAGTCGGCCCCAAACTTGGGATCCTCCTGCTTCAGCCTCCCAGCGTACTAGGGTGGCAGGTGTGCGCCACTGCATCAGGCACACGTGAGTTCCACTTTAGTATCTTACAGAGAGAAATACTGCAGGTTATAAGTGTGAGGCTAGTTGTTGAAACATTGTTTATTGTGTCAAAAAAGGGGAAATAACTTATATGGGAATGTTCAATTGCTCAGATGGGTCCATCTATAGTATGAAATCCATACTATGAGATATGCAATTATTAAAAAAGAACAGTTTAGAGCCACATGTAACTATATATAAAACAGCTTATTAGGTATTGCAAATAGGAGGAAATTATTAGGTATAGAATGATTTCATCCTTAATAAAAATAACTGAAAGTGGTCAGAGAGGCAGAAAGATGTATTGCTGAATGACCCCCAAGAAAGGCAGGAAGGAACACACACTGCATTATTAGCATCAGTTCCCTCTCAGGCACATTGCTCGTCGTGTTGTTAGAGAACATTTTGATACCGGGACCAAACTCGGGACCTTGCACTTGTGCAGCAGGCGCCAGAACCACTGAGCTAAATCCCCGGCCCAGCATTTTGAATTTTAGAAACTAACGCAGAATAAAAAAAGCACAGGAGAAGCTGACCCCTCCTCAAACGATACAGCCCTCCAGCTGGGTCTGTGGCCACATTTGTCCCCCTGCTCTGGGCCAGGTGGCTGTGCTGATCAATTGGGAAGTGAGCCACATCCGGGAGAAGATCCGTTAAAGGAAGGGGTGCTTCCTGCTTCCTGCTTCTTTCCCCCTACTCTGGGAACACGGCATGATGCCTGTGATAGTCACAGCTCAGCTGGCCCACGAAGCCCAGAACCGTCCCCCCGAACAGCCCCAGGGGTGGCCTAGAAAGCCTGGTTTGAGGACGATCACAGAGCCACCTTACCACCTGAAGTATCTTCACCCAGACATTTACAGCAGAGTAAAAGAAACATCCACCTTGTTTAAGTAGTTGTTGCACGCAGCTGAGGAAATAAAGAAATAGGAAAATAGACTCCTTCCCCATCATGAGAGATTCTGCTGTGATGCTACACCCAGGGACAGATGGGCACACATCTGGGAACTTGAAATATTGGAGGCAGCAGTGCATATTCTACAGGTGAGAGAGAGGCCTGAAGCCCAGAGCTGCTAAGAGATCCCCTAAGAAGCACACAGCTAGGGCATGACCAGCATGGCCCTGGACACAGGCTTCAGACCTCTGCATCAGTACATGCTCCAGAGCCGCACTGTGCTACCCTCAGCTTTAGGGTCCCTGGAACAGAGGGCTGGTGATTTCAGGGGTGCAGGCCCAGGGAGGTCCCTGCCTGAGAAACAGTCCGGGCCTTGACTGCCTCTCTGTTTACTGGATTTGTATAGATTGTACCAGTGGCCAGCTCAAGGCCTGTGGCCCTCTCCATGGCTTTCTCTCTTTATCTCTGGGCCAGAGCTGAGTGTATTATAAGCAGTTCAGTACCTTACCTTCTGAGGTAAGTCTTTCCAGAAAGAAAGGCAGCCTGATGTTTTGGCAAAGATGGGGTTTCAGCTCCTCTGTGTTAAGCCCTGTGCTAGTCAGCTTTCACTCTGAGCGGGATATCTGAAAAAGACAACTTAAAGGAGGAAAGATTTCTTTTGTCACATGGCTTCAGGGGTTTCAGTCCAAGGTCACTGGCTCCATCGCTTCTGGGCTTGTGGGGAGGTGGAAACATAGTGGCGGAAGGGCGTGGCGGAGCAAAGCTGCTCACCTCATGGTGGCTGGGAAGCAGAGAGCACAGGGAAGAGCCAGAAAGGAGAGGCCAAGAAAACGATATAGTCCCGAGGCCATACCTCACCACCCTTTCCCTCCCACTTGGTCCCACTTCCTCAGTTTCCATCACCTTCCAATGATGCCATAAAATTATGAATCCATCATGAGTGAATCCACTGATAAAGTCAGAGCCTTCACGATCCAATAGCCTTCCAAAAGTCCCATTTCTAACCACATGAGACTGTGGGGAACATGTTAGATCTGAACCACAACACACCTCTAGGCTGCTGTTTAACCCTGTTATCTCCAAGGTCAGGCCCCTCTTTCAGGGAAAGACTTCGGCATCAGTACACTATCCTGGAGGGAAAAGCTGCTCTCTCCTCAGGAGCAACAGTTTGGGGAGCCCTCTATTGTCTCTGTTGTTTCCTGAATAACTGTGAAAGAAAGGAAAGAAAGTGGTACCAACAGTTGGACACACAATCTTGGCCTACACCTCCTTGCCCTACTTCATAACTCCAATTGCAATATTTTCTGACTTGGATTTTGAGAAAAACTTCCAAATTGTTTGGAAAGACTGATTGACTCTGTGCAATTTGGTCCCCCTGCCCTAGGATCCTTACACAGCTGTTCTTCGGGGATTCTCCAAGGGATGAAAGATCAATGTCAAACACCACCAAGGCAAGCAGCTCAAGGGAGCTGGAAGGGAAGGAGAATCCATTCCCCTCCATTACCAATGAAAAGCAAGGAGGTATAGAGTCTCCAATATGCTCTTTCTTCTTCTGTGACCATCAGCAGCTCCACGGGGGGAGAGACAGACAGAGAAGTGGACTTCAGCCTTCCACTATGTTTGTGACTGTTTAAATAGGGGGTGTGTGCTTCACAATTGCACCATAACTGTCTCGCACGAGCAAAAACCCAGTAACATAATGAAGATTTTGTTAATGTTTCATCTATTTTTTTTTCTTTTGGTGATACCAGGGATTGAACCCAGAGCTACAACCCAAGCCCTTTTTATTTATTTTGAGACAAGGTCTTGCTAACTTGCCCAAGTGGGACTCAAATCTGGGATCCTCCTGCCTCAACCTCTCCTAGTTCTGGGATTATGGCATGTGCCACCACACTTGGCTTAGTCCACTTTTTAAAAGTTAAAAATTCAAGCTTTCATTTGAATATCAACAATATGACAATTATAAAATGTGCTCATCCAATCATAAAACCAAGACTAAGAATTCACTAACCATAGAATCTTCTTTTCGTTGCTTTAAAGTATTAAAGATACTTTACTTTGAAATATTTTGTATTCGATTTTATCACCAGGTTGAGACTGGCTTCTTGCCCTCACCTGCCTTCTCCCCCAGGTAGTCCAGGTTACTGGTCTCTACTCTGGGAGACTGTGCCTTAATAGCATCACCTCTAGAGATCCGACCGGGAATCTGGGGCCTGGGTATGTTTGTGGGTGTGAAGACAGGACCAAATCTGAACTTCAAAACAAATCCCACCGTGCAGGGTACCTGCCACTGCAGGCTCCATACATCCAGATATTTTGCCTTTCTATGTGTTCACACACTGGAATTTTAAATAGGTCAACTGACAACAAGAAAACAAATGCCACACAAATATGGCCCATTGCGACCCAGCTTCTCAGGGGTCTGGGATCCAAGGTCAAGGCTGAGTAGTACAGTGATGTCCCTTAAGGATATTCCATTCCCAGCTATGTGCTGAACTCAGTCTTCCTAGTGTTCTATGATGCATAACTTAATGACTTAAAATAAGATGTATTTATTGTCTCACAATTTCTGTGGGTCAGGGATCTGAGCTGTCTGTTCAGAGAATCACAAGTTTGCAACCAAGGGGTTGGCTGAGCTACATTCTCTCCTGGAGGCTCACCTGGTGAAGAATCTGCTTCCAGGCTCATTCAGGTAGCTGACAGAATCATTTTTTTGTGACCAGTGGCCTCAGCTTTTTGCAGGCTATAAGTCACCTGTGTGTCCCAGAAATGCTCACAGTATGTTGACATGTGGGCTTCTCCAACATGCTTGTGTCTTTCACTAAGTCCTTAAGAAGGGTTCCTAGCCTCACCTAGCATCATTGAGTGCATTTGTGGGTGTGAACGGAGGACACTGATTCTCCATTCCTGATGACAAACAGGAGGTATAGAGCCATAAACACACCTTTCCCTTTTCTGTGACCACTGGCACCTTCATGGAAGGTGCCTGGACAGTAAAGAGGGCCTACAGAGACCCTTACATAATGTAACCTAATCATGACAGTGACTTCTCATTACCTTTGGCATAATCCATTGACAGAAGCAAGTCACAGGGCCAATTTGGCCCAAGATGAAAGAACTACTCAACGTCAGATTACAGCAATCAGGCACTATGGAGGCCACCCTAAAGTTTTTCCAAAATATTGGGTTTAGAATCTGTCTTTGAGCACAGTTCACAAAAATACTTCTATAGTATTTTGAGGAAAGACCACTTTAGTAAAAAGAGTCAGAGTCCAGTGAGAAGAAATATTACCCAGTTAGAGCTCATAGTAAAGCATCAGGTGGCTAAGCATCAAAGTTTGCCTTTCCTCAGCCTTGCTCAGAATCCACTGTTTCAGATAAAGGTGAGTGGCTGAGGTGGATGAAGGCCTTGGCCAAACCACAGGGACACAGACAGACCGCCATTTTGCTGCACAAGGGAAGAAATGACTTATCAACAGTAGGAAGATTCAAGAGCACATCCTAAAAGAAATAGAGTACAATATTGCTCTGGGAAGCTATATTATGATTAAGGTAGGCAAGGGGGAGTATGAAAGGTACATGGAGGTATCTGTTGGAATTATCTGGCTACAGTGCAAGGTGGTGCTGGAAAAGTAAATTGAAATCAGATTAGGAATTGGAAAGAACTTAGATTTTACCTTGTAGGCAATGGAGAACCATTGAAACATCATAAATAGGATAACAATATTTTCAAAGCCCTGCTTCAGTACAATTAACCTGGTTATGTAGACAGAATTATTTTCTTCTATGCTTTGCCAGATTTAGAATTCTCATTTGACAGTTTTCTTCTTTGACCATTTAATAAATACCATAGAATTACATTTTGCCCTCCATGGCTTCTTATGAAAAATCAGTTGATAATTTGACTGAAGATCCCATATATGTGACAAGTTATTTTTCCCTTGCTACTTTTGAGATTCTTTTTGTCTTTTTCTTTTGACACTTGCTCACAATGGGTCTTCATATGAGTCTCTTGGGTGATCCTTCTTAAAGTTTTTGGATTTGAAGACTCATGTCTTTCTTCACATTTGAAAAGTGTTAAACCATTATTTTTCCAAATAATTCTTGGACCATTACTTTTATCTTTTGTAAGTTCCTTAATGCATAAATTGGTCCATTAAATGATGTTCCAAAAGTTTCTTATGCTGTTTACTTTTCATTTTTGTCCTATTTCTTAGATTCAACACTTTGGTTTATCTAATCTTCTGGTTTACTATTCTTTCTTCTGCCTTCTTTACTCTCTTGTTGCAGTCTTCTGGTGAATTTTCATTTTAGTCATTGCACTTTTCAACTCCAGAATTTGTTTGATTCTATTTTTGTAATTTTTGTAAAGATCAACAATATCTTTATTGATAGTTTCATTGTGTTCATATATTATTTTTCCTGATTTAATTTAGTTCTTTGCCTATGTTTTCTTTTAGCTCTTTAAGCATATTAAGACTATAGTTTTAGAGTGGTTGTATAGTGATTCTGATGTCAAGGTTTCTTCAAGGACAGCTTCCATCATTTAATATTCCTTTGAATGAACCATATGGTCCTGCTTCTTTGAATGCCTTGTGATTTTTTAATTGGGTATTTGATTATTTCAATGCAGTACTCTGAAAATAAAATTTGTTAAAATTTTCTAGTTTTCTCTTTTGTCTCTTTCTTTCTTACTCTTTGTTGTTGTTGAAGGTTATAGTTAAACATTTGTTTTGAAACTTTTCCAGACCATTTTTGCAAAGACTATGCCTTTTCATGCTATTCATTAGATTCCCAAATGGCAAGGGGCAAAACCAACAAACATACAGCATCCAAAATATAAAACCAAAAGGAGGGACCATCCATCTCTCTTAGTTTTTGTAGGCTGGCTCTGTGCTGGAGGCACACAACTACACAGACTTTCTTTGAGTCTTGGGCTCAGCCCAAGACTGATGGCTTAAGGTATTCTCAGAATTGTTCTAAACATCCATCTTGCCTGAGTTTCCAACTTCCCAGGTATACATGACTAGTTTTAAATGACCTAATTTCCTAGGGTCTAACCTCAGCTTCTCTTCAGATCTTAGATGGTCTATTGTATGTCTCCACCTGGAATCTCTCTCCCCAGATATCTCTGGCTTGTGGTTGCCTTGTGGCTTTTACCAGTAGTGTCTGCTGATCTTCCCATCTACATAGTGAGTTACACAGAACAGAGGCTACTGCTTTACATCAATATTTCAGGTGTCCCCCAGACAGCTTAGCACAGATGTACACAATGATTTCCAAGTAGGGCTGCTTAGCTTCCCTCAGTTAAGGTGGGTACTTGGGAACTCTATGCTGTCTGCTCCACACCAGTACTCTGAGGGAAAGGGAGATGGAGCCAAGAAGAGCAAAAATTCAACAACTTTCATTCCATTTGGAAGACAGCTTTTTCCTTGATTGCACATTTGGTTCTTGCTGTAAATCTCTGGCTGTTTCCCAGAGTTTCTACAAAGTTGGTTTTTGACCGCTGATGAGTTTAGTTTAGTTTTTCATGATATTTCTGGGGGGGAAATGAGAACTTGGGAGATTCCTCATCTGATATTTGCCAGTGACATTCTCCACTACGTAACTCTGGACCTGAAAAGGAAGAAAGGAATCACATCAATGGAAAAAGAAACAACCAAAAAAACACAAAAAAACCTAAGTTCATTAGGTACAGAATTTAGTAAATATTTACTGAAGCTGTAAGTGTGGCTCCATGGTAGATCACTTGCCTAGCATGTGTAAGGCCCTGGGTTAAAGCTCCAGGACCTCAAAACAATCACTCAATCAATCAATATTAATCATTTACTATACGTAAGGCACAGTTGCAGGTGCTGGGATCTAGAGAAGCAAAGAAATAGAGAGATGAGATATTTTCGTGCATTTATTTGTTCATAGAAAAACACCCACTGAGCTCTATTGGTACCATGGGTACCATTGGTAATATAGCAATATGTAATATAACCACTGTCCATAAGACTTAGAATTTAGGTTAAGCAGCAGTGGAGATTGAAGAGTAGAAATCAGATGCATCCCCACCCACTGCTAGAGAAGAGAAGATGGAAGGAAGTTTGTCTTAAAATATATGGGAAATGGGAAGAAGGATGAGAAGGGAGAAGGAAGGAGGCAAAAAGAGAAGGAAGTAGAGAAGTAGCAGTGAGAGGACATAAGCGACTAAACAGACAAATACAGCATCAGGTCATCAGTGAGATGGGGGGTATGAGACAGTATGGAGTCTAGACACTGAAAGAAAGAGGGCTTCGCAGGGGCAGTGATGACCAGGCAGATACTTAGAGATGAAGGTGAAGATGAAGTCATCAGGGAAGAGGTGGTTATGGTATTGCAGGCAGAGGAAAAATACATGCAAAGCCATAAAAGTGTGATTGAAAAATACAGTGTGCATTTAATTTTTTAAAAATTTATTCCAGTAAAGACACATGACCATTAATTCCCCTCAAAGTACCACACACACATGTATCCCATCATTCTTGGCCCTTTCTTTTCAATGTCTTTAGTTCTGCTGTCACAGCTCCCTTGATGTCTTGAACTGATTTAAAATATTTACCTTTCATGGTTATTTTGGCTCTGGGGAAGGGCAGAAGTCACACAATGCCAGATCTGGTGAGTAGGCTGGATGAGGAAACACCTCATGTTTTCACGAGCTTGGATGGCACTTGGCCGCAGCATTCATTATATTTATGATCCCACTTTGTAAAGAAATGAAGGCGTCCAGAGACGGTTTAACATATTCAAGTAGTTAAAGGAAGTCCCCTCGTGCCAGCTATTTGAAGCTATGAGTGGTGAGAGGTGACCAGGCATGGTGAGTGAGGTGACCCTGCCCGTGGTTATGCAGGACCATTTAAGCCATCTAAAACAATTTGAAAATGGACAATTGGAACGTATGAGCCCCCGAAGTCTTAATAAAGTAATGTGAAAAGATCAGCATTTTAGAGAGAATGCTTTGTCTTGTGGCTAATAAACCAGTAAGTTAGTTGGGAGCTATTGCAGCAACACAGAAAATAGAGAGAGGGTGGTGACATCAATGTGGATAATGACCACAAAAAGAGTAAACAGTAAATAGAATAATTCAGAGATTTTACAGGAGAGGGAGGTGACAAAAGCAATTACCAGGTTCCTAACATCAGCAACTGGTAGACTGAGGTGTGATTTGCTGAAATGATCTAAGTATTGGCGGTGTCCTGCCCAGATCACTAAACAGGCCACAACACCCATCTACCAGCCACCAGAGCACTGCCCTTGGCCACTAGGAGCCAGGAACTGGCAGGCAGAAGGCTACACCCTCACCCCACTCAAAAACTGCAACTAGTAAACAGTTGACAGGAGGCTACAAAAGGCTGGCTCCTGTGCTTCAAGCTGGAGCCAATGCTGTGATGCCCCACGGCTGACAGGAGCTCAACCTGAGTCTGACGCTCACGGAGCTCACCGCCTGCGTAGGTCCTTCCCTGCCCCATCCTGCTTCTCCTACTCCCTGTCCTCCAAGAGCACTCCCGCAATAAGTCACAAGCACCCCAACACAGTCTAACTCTGATTTAGGGCACATGTACTAAAATAGTTTGTTTCTTTTTTTTATACATGTGAGTATATATTTTATTTATTTTTTATTTATTTTTTTATTTATATATTAATTGGTACATTTTAGGTATACAATACATTTACACTTATCATTGGGTGTTTGTACCTGAACATGATGTATCTTAGTTCTTATTTTTTCCCCCATTACCTGTGTGCCTTTCACCCCCATAAAATAGTTTGTTTCAAGAATATTCTCCAGAGAAAATTCTAGAGTAGAATTCTAAGTTCTGGAGTTGATCCCTTCCCAGCTAGCTGTCAATGTGCATTTTGGGTGATGGATGCTACTCTCATCCAGAAATACTCTTGCATACAGACCCAGAATAACCTTTGAACAAACATCTGGACACTCTGTGTCCCAATCAAACTGATACACAAAGTCAACCGTCACAGTCACCCTACTGGTAAGTGGTGAATGAAGTCAGAATCTTCAGGATATGAAGATTTTAAGCCAAGGAGAATATCTGGTGTTGGGGCGGGGGGGCTATTTAAAAATCACCAACACTGTTAGTGGTAACTGAAGCCCCAGGAATAATTGAGGTAACCACAGAGAATATATCATGTGAAAAGAAACAATGCCATAGAACAAAACCTTGAGGATGGTTGGCATTCAAGTGACACTTTGAGCAAACGGCACTCGGGCAGATTGCCGTGGGTAAAAGGAAATCCAGAAGAGACGCTAGTGGAAAGAGGGTTGTAAAGTAGAGGGGTCTATCAATGGGGTTAAATAGGGCTCATAAATGACAAGGGCTACAAAGTATCCTTGTGATCTAATGACCTTGGTGAAGGCCAGTCCAGGGATGGGGTGAGAAGGACACTGTAGTGCCTGAGGAATCAAGAGGACAGAGGTGAAGATTGGCAGGTGTCTGCAAGTTTTACAAGCAGTGTGTCAGTGAAAGAGAGATGAGAGAAGCCTAGAGGCTGAGGGACACATTGGGAAAGGTTTGGCAGCTTGTTTTCAAGATGGAGAGGCTTCAGCATCTCAAGTTAGCGTGACTTGGCACCAGCCTATCACTTGAAGAGGAGATATTCAAAACACAGGACATTCCTGGGATTGGAATCAGAGGTGTGTTCTACTGTTTTCTCAGGCCATTATTTTGCCCTGCCAGGCCTCGTTTCCATGACAGCCTCCTTCAGAGTAATGTTGAGTAAGTGGGAAAGGCATATGGAAGTATTCTACCAATAATCATCATCACTTCCAAAGCGCCAAGGAGATGGCTGGATTCAAGACTCTTTCAAGCTTCTCAAGCAGGAGCGTCTGGGGAATAGCAGCATGGAAATGCCGGCAGGAGACAGTTTAGAGATAGAAAGATGACAATGTTCGTTTGTATAGGCCATTGCTGGGGTCATGGCAAGACATCAAAAGTGGAAACACTATCATACCACAGCGATATATGTGCACCCATGTTCATAGCAGCACAGTTTGTAATGGTTAAAGCTTGGAAACAGCCCAAGTGCCCATCAACTGGAAACTGGGTAAAGAAGATGTGGTTTACTACTCTTTACTAGAAGATGTGGAGTACTACTCAGCCATAAAGAACGAGAAACTAGAGACATTTATAGCTAAATGGATGCATATTGAGGCCATCCTCTTAAGTGAAATAAATAAGACACACACATGCAAATACCGAATAGTTTCTCTAGTGTGAGAAACTGAGAGTGTAAATAAGGATTAAAATGATTAAAACAAATAATTGATAATTTGAAATAGGAAAAGGTCCAAAGAGGTAGGGGAAGTGGGAGAGGAAGAGGAAAGGAAAGAAGGGAAAGGAAAAATTATGAGAAAAGAAAAAAAATGGAAATGAAATCTATGTAAATAAGGAGGGGTGAAGGGGGGAAGGGCGCACAGGGAATGGGGAAAAAATAAGAACCAAGATGCATCATATACAGGTACAAGCACCCAATGATAAATGTAAATGTATTGTATACCTAAAATGTACCAGTAAAAGAATTTAAGAAAAAAAGTGGAAGCACTTAGCAGATATATGGAGACAAGGAGCAGATGTAGGAGAGCAGTCAGGGATGGAGAAGCAGAGCTGGCACTGCTCTACCCTGGGGATTCAGAAGGCAACGGGGCTTTGTGTGACACTTGGCAGAGTCACTCGAGAACACCTATAACAGCCATGCATTTAGGAATTGCTTTGTATCAGGCCCTTTACCTACAATTCCTTCCAAGCTCACAATTATCTGTACTTTACAGTGGAGAAAATTGAGGCTTGAGAGGTAATAAATGATGCAGTCCAAAATCAAGCACAGTCCCTCTGGCTCCAAAACCTGCATTCTTTCCACTACCTCATGCTGCCCTGTAGGATGGAGTTTGGGGGGAGAACTATGTGTAGGAGACAAAAGAAATGGCTCGTTGGACAGAGGAACAATCAGAGGGTGTTCATTATGGAGGCCACAAGAAGATAAAGCTTCAAGATGGGGGAACTGGAAACAGTGCCAGCCACTGCCAAGAGAGTAATGGGAAGGAGAACTGACACAGCCATGGAGCTGGTGAGGACCTGGTGACCAGCAACTGTACATGGTTGAAGGGGGCTGTGTCCTTAAAAATAAAGATGCCTGTGTAGAAGGAAGAGCGCCCCCTCTAGCCCCTAAATGGTACTGGTGGAGAAACTACTACATGGTCAATGCAGCCAGTGTCTGATGGCATTGCACATGGCAAATCAGGAAAGTAAAAGTCAACAAAGCCCTCATTCTCAAACAGCCCACAACTGAACTAGGGAACCTGCATTTGTCTATGAAGAAAACCAGAGAACCACAGCGGAAGGGAGTGTCTCCCTCAAGACTCCTCCTGCAGCTACAACTTCTGCCAATGTCTAGATCAGGTGGGACCCAAGATCCCAAGGGAGAGCCGAGCCAGCAGGCCATGCAGCATCTGTGTGTGATGGCGGCAGCAGCTGTGGGGGTGCACTGCTGCCCGGGGAGGGTGTGCAGCTGGGGAAAAGGGCACAGAACAGAGCTCCAGGCAGCATCGGGATTTCACGAAACAAATCAGAGTCCTA